TTTGTTTGTCCAGATACCCCTTTTTCAGAAAGTCCAGGTCCGGGGAGTGGGGTGGGGGGGGGTGGGCACTGATTGGTGGGCCTGAATGATAGAGCTTCATGTGAGCTAAACAACAAAAGAAATCTGAAGCTCTTATGTGTAATAGTTTTTGAGCAATAACCCTTTTTGTTTGTCCAGATACCCCTTTTTCAGAAAGTCCAGGTCCGGGGAGTGGGGTGGGGGGGGGTGGGCACTGATTGGTGGGCCTGAATGATAGAGCTTCATGTGAGCTAAACAACAAAAGAAATCTGAAGCTAATAGTTTTTGAGCTATAACCATACCCCTTTTTCAGATAAATTGGGGGATCCGGGCGGGGGTGTGGGTGGGGAGTGGGCACTGATTGGTGGGCCTGATGGATAGAGCTTCATGTGAGCTAAACAACCAATAAAATCTTAAGCTCCTATGTTGAACAGTTTCTGAGTTATAAGCATTTTTGCATGTCCAGACACCCCCTTTTCCAGATAAATTGGGGGTCCGGGAGAGGGGGGGGGGCACTGATTGGTGGGCCTGATGGATAGGGCTTCATCAGAGCTAAACAACAAAATAAATCTGAAGCTTCTATGTTTTCTATATTTCTATATTTTACACACTATACACAGAACTGGCACTGTTATGTCCCACTCACCATTAAGCCAGTCAGGTGCAGTCAGGATCATGTGAAACTTCAGAAGATGAGGATTATGATGTCTAAATATGACACAAACTTTGGCCTAAGGAAGAAATTAAATAAAAAAAAAAACTTCATTGTACGAACTGTGATACTTTTTAAGTCCAAAAATTATTAGTCTTGCTTGTCTCGTCTCTAAAGCTTAAATGATGCCAGGTATGACCACACGATGGCAGTGTTCAGTTTAAAACAGCGCAAACACAAAACATTCATGTTTGCGTTAAAAAAATTAAAGATAGTTTTGTTTCTTTTTGAAACAAACACAAAAAATGAACTATTACTCACTGAAGCCCCTTTTAAAACACAAATCAAAGTTGTTTTAGTGCCACAAAAACATATTGGATGGCAAAAACAGTTTTCTTTAGTTATTTAAAACTAAATCAACCATCTAAACATCCAGAAAATTGACTGGTTTTGTAGCAGCTGACATAAAAATACAACATTTTTTAAATACTGACTCAGTACTTTGATTTAGTTTTACACATACATTTTTTTCCCAGTTCATTTGAGTTTGGTTTTGTGGTTAATTTAATGTGAACTGTCAACATGACTGACTGAAAAGTTCTCCTGTTAGAGCTGGGAAATGTAGATTTACTGTATAAAGATGGAGGGAGTTTTTTATTATCCTTATTATTTTGTACAGCTGCTCACCATATCACGCCAGTTGTAATGGAGACATACAGTGTAATGAAAATTTGATGTGTAAACTCAAAAAAGTAAAAGAAAAATCAATATTTTTCTGAAAATTAAGCAGAATTTTTGAATGTGACAGGTTTTTATTGTCTATTATTCTCTAAATTTCCTTCTCCCGCCACCTTTTCTTCTTCCTGTTCATAAGAGTCCATCTCAGACATTAAGACCAACATTATTCATCCTAAAACTTCATGACCTGCCTGTCAGCACTGGAAACAGACACATTTGAACTGGAACATACAGACTGCAATAAATGACATTCCTTCTTCACTCATGATCATTCACATATGTTCACTGATACACACACACACACACACACACACACACACACACACACACACACACACACACACACACACACACACACAC